TTTTTTTTTTTTTTTTCGAAACGGGGACTTTCAACACAGTTGACTAATGCTGTGTCGTGATTATTATTATTATTATTATTATTATTATTATTATTATTATTATTATTATTCCCTCCTGTTCATAATATGTATGTATCGTATTGAGAAGTTAGTCAATAATCAATTTCTTTTATTGTCAATAATAACCCTCTTTGATGAAAAGTGGATATGAAAATGCGTAATGTATTTATTAAATAAAGAGAGTAATAATGAAAAAAACATGTACAAACAGATCCAAATCGTCATTTATTTGGTTAATGGTTGATAAAACAAAAATTATATTTAAAAAGAACATGAGGTAGTATTATAATTATTTACTAGCACCTTAGAATGTCAACTACCATAAACACTTTAACATTTACTAAATTTTATGCATTTGTATTTGGAACTACTTTATAATTATTTTTATTGGTTAATTTTTCTATATTAACATTTTTAATATTTTTTAGCATTTTTCAATAAATAATTATCAAATAATAGTCAGACACAATCAATACCTCCCTCTCTCTCTCTCTCTCTCTCTCTCTAGTTGTGGAAAGTCGGTCAAATCGCCAGTTACGGCTCCGGCCAAACCACAGTTCCGGTTTATATCCGAAACTGCGGTTTGGATTGCTTGTTTGGCTACTCAAATTAAAAACTTTGAAACATGCTTTGATAAATCTATGTGTGTTAATTACAATGATTGTTTTTGTAATATAATTATAAGTTAATGCTTATCATAAAGTTAAATGCAACTTTCCCTCTACGGTTGTGTTTGGTAACCACTATGAGCTAGCTTATAGTTTATTTGGTTGGTTCATAAGCTTCTATTCAAATAAATTTGGTCTGGTAGAACAAACAATTTTTAAAAAGCTCGAACATATGACATAAACTTCTTTGGGTAGCTTTTCAAAATAAGCCCGTTGAAATATTTATTTCAGCTGACTTATCAGCTAGTATTACCAAACACTTTTATCGTATAAGCAAACTTTTTAGTAATAAGCCATAAGCTATCAGCTATAAACTCAAAATTCACTTATCAGCTATCAGCTATAAACTCAAAATTCACTTATAGCATAACTCACTTGGCAAATGCTGCACTTCCAATCTTTCTGACCAGCAGCCATAGGCAAAGAATTAGAAGCAGAGTTGAATTTCCTTAGGCAGCTAAATATCTCCTCTTCTTGCAATCCACTGCCCACATATCCAATCCTATCACTCAACTCAAGAAGCTCCTGCATTTTGCATAATTAACACAAATGGTTGTTTGTAATAATGAAAATACTTCAATTTGTTTTTTCTCGTTCATTCAAGAATTGAAAAGGCACCTCATACGACATGTTATCGACATTGAGCCTCCAGCCGTGGTGTCGATCGTGTTCGTGAAAAATTCTTCTCGACAATGTGGATTGTTGCGACATTAACATCTGCATTTTAGAAAATAATGTAAACGACACAGATAGTTTTGTTTGCAAAGTATGATTTTTTTTTTTTGGTCGAGAAGTATTTGCAAGTTTGAGTTTTGACCATAAAGGGATATTTGCAATTTCGAAAGATAATAAAACTTCGTATTGGTAGGCTAAAATCATACATTTTAAGGTAAATTACCAGCACAAGTTTGAGTTTAGGCCGTACATTTATAAGTTCACCGACAGATTGATTAGTTCTTGGGCCTCTGCCGCTGGTCACAACTGCTGGAAAATCTGCTTCGTTTATCCTAGCTTCACGAGAATGCTAACGTAACACGAACAAAGTGAGTAAATGAAAAAGAAAACATTTGGTCTGTTTAGTTATATAGTCTTTTGGCAAGATAAACACTAAGATACTAATACCAATTTAAGCCTAAATTTGGCAGAAACTAACTACTAAGTCATGCTTGCAAACACCTTGTAATTCTGCAAAGTTTTATTCAGCATATAAATGAAGTGCTCTGCAGTTGATTATTCACCGAACACGATATTCGTATGAGACGGTTTAACCGTTAAAACCAGTCGACCCGCCATATCTTTTTAACAAAGATCGAAACTTTTTGTTATGAAATGCCACAAATGTTGGTTTTTTAAAGTATGGCATTTCATTAAAGCCAAGATAAGTTAACAACACATGCAAATTTCCAGTTTTCATTGCAAAATCACAACTCTTAACAAGAGTACACACACACACACACACACTCACACACACACTCACTCACACACTCAACTCACACACACACACACACACACACATTCACTCACAC